CCCAGTTAAATGGGAATGTTTAAATGAATGCAATGAAATACAACCATTAATACTATTCTTGGAGATTTTTTTTTAATCATGTGAAAATGTTTACAACAAAAAGTTAGGTGAAAGGACGTATGCAAAAACTCCACAAATAGAATGGTCCTAATTGTGATAGATGTGATATACACAGAAAAGAAACACACAGAAAGTTACAGTATAATCAAGAGGATGGAAACCAACAAAAATCTGCAGAACTCTCGGAATCACCTGTAATAGCTCCCAGACTTAGAAAGTGGGCTATTCTGAAGCCGGCCCTTAGACATTGTGAAAATGTTAGCTTCCAATAGTGAACAAAATAAATCCCAAAATTAATCAGGTACCATGTGACCATAAAGATGCTCATTTATATTCTGGTAAGATGCAGATTTTGACATAATTGTAAGGGTCACAGTCTCACACTGTTCGAGGTCTATGTCCAGACCTAACTACCTCCCCAACTAATAGGTGGTAACCCTGTTCTCCACCCAACCCAGGCAAACCAGTTCATGAACGCCTTCATCTTGAAGTCCTACCAGCAACAACACACCCTTCACTATATAACTCTTTCTCACCCCCTTACTTCCAGGTCATGTGCTCTGTAGTGGTTGTTGGGAAGTTCACTCTGCTTCCAGCTAAGCATCAGTGTCCCACCTACTCAACACAGGCAGAATTTCAGTGGGGTTTCATTGTCTATGCAGAGCAGAGCCTGGGGAATGAAGGAATGGGTTATCTGTGGCCTTGGACTTTCTGGTATTGAAGCCTTACTGCTACTTCAGTCTCTGGGACTTCCCTGCCTCAAAACACAGCTTTCTCCTCCTAACCGATTTCCGCCATGGCTTCTCAGCTGGATGTTCTGCTCCCTGACTAGGAACAGACCTCTACTAGCAGATGCTAGAGTTGGGAGAAAACAGCTGAAGCTTCCCAGGGACACTGGCCCAGGGCAATTCCCTAAGCCCCATCCTATTCCCAGACCTTTCTAGAATCAAGCTTGACCCAGCATCCGCTCTTCTTACTCCCTCACATCAGTCACCCAACACTGCGTTAACAGCACCATGCAGTCATCTCTGTGCAAGGTCCTTCACCAGCTAGTCTCAATGTCCCCTTCCTGTCCTCATCTCCCAGCCCTCCCATCCTTTCATGTCCCTAAGTCTGTATTTACCTCACACCTTTCCTCTCTCCAGACTCACATCCTTCATTTCTGCCGACCTGGCTCCCTGTGGAAACTCTGTCCATTTCACAATCCTCCCCTTGCTTTCAATATCAGTGTTATTAAAATGTGGTCCTTCTGTAGCTCAGACTAGCCAAGAACTTGGGATTCTCAACTTGCTGCATGCTCTGTTAAGGGCATGAGCTGCTGGCTCTCTCTCTCTCTCTCTCTCTCTCTCTCTCTCTCTCCCCCACACACACACACACACACACACACACATTTTTCAAAAGTCACATCAGATGTGTGTATAATGGCCTCTCCTACCAGGGGTGGAAGCAAAGTTCTCAAAGTCACAACAGATGTGTGTATAATGGCCTCTCCTACCAGGGGTGGAAGCAAAGTTCTCAACAGCTCTGAGTGCCCCAACCTTAACATCAGCCGTTTAATTGTTTTCTTACTCTGCTTTCCCCAGCCTCCTCATGTAGACTGCAAGTTCCCACAGGCAGTTCTTCCCATGTCAGTGTCCCACACTCCATCTGGGGGCACAGCTTCTTAATAAACGTGTGGCGGAGCCTGAGATCTCCTTCACTTAGGAAACATGCCCAAATTCTCCAGGAACAGAGATTGCTTTCACCCAAAAATGATGTGGCCATCTAGGGCTGTAAACCAAATACCTGGGTTCCGTCCACACACCCTCATGCAGAGGGGCGTCACTATTCTAGGCTTCACTCACCTTCAAAACAGGCACTGTACTTCCTGTGCCCTGCCTTCTTCACCAGGATACTGTCCCTAAATGTAAGAATCAAATGTGACAACCAACCACAGGGAAGGCAGGAGATCTCTCAGCACAAGTGTGAGAGTGGAGAGCTTCCTCCTATGGCTACAGATCAAGCAGAGGTAGAACCTGAGCCTGTAGCAACAGCAGCTGGCACAGGAAAGGGTGCAAGTGTTTCTCCATGTGTGAATCAAGCACAGGCACCTGTCTGTGGTTTCCCCATTTGCTCAATGGTTCTGTTCTTTTTCTCACCCAGTGGGATGGCGTTAGGAAAAGGAGGACTATTGACTTCTCTATTTACTAAACTATTGACCTGAAATAAGCTGCAAAGCCACCTGCAGCAAAGGCACAGAAATGGTCCAGCACAGTCCTCTGCTGCCCCTTCCTTTGAACAGTTGGGCCTTCAGCACAGGTCTGGTCATGGTGTAAATTACCAGGGCAGTGCTGGTGGTATAATTACTGGAACCTCCTAGCTAGGATTCCAAAACAGTCACAATTTCAGAGACTCTTGTTTGCCCTTAAGTCACTAAGCACTTGCCAATCTTCGACTGGGAAAGCAAGATTTCCCAGTCAGCTATTTCTCATTAGTCTGCCAGAGTCTTAACTGGAAGGTGGGCAAAGGAAGATGAGAAGCACGGCTCCCGGTGTCCAGTTTGGGGAAGCAGGGGCTAGATTCTCTTCCTCTTTCCTCAACCGACTAACGGTGCAAATTTAGTCTGTTTATCTTAAGGGTTTTTGCTTTTGTTTTTTTTTTTTTTTTCCCACCTTGGCTCTACCTGTGAATCACATGAGGGAAAATTTAAATCTCATGCCTGAACTGTACTTCAAAGCAATTTAATCAGTCTTTAAAAACAAACAAAACATTTGGGACTGGGGATGTAGCTTAGTTGGTAGAGAATTTGCCTGGCATGCACATGGGCCTGGATTTGATCTCCAGCACCAAATAAACTGGGCTTGGGGGTAGGGATTTAGAAATTCAAGGTCATCTTTCAGTACAGGTCCAAGGCTACCCTAGGCTACCTGAGACATAGCAAAAAAAAATAAAAATAAAAATAAAAATAAATAAAATAAATAAAATAAAAAAAAACAATCTTTCCACTAAATGCCAATGTATACATCCCAAATTGGACTTTTGTAGGGTGGAGTTTTCAAACTTGCCAGATGATAATAACCACATACATTAGCTTCATTTCAGGCTCCAAAAATGATAGTAACTGAAATTCTTAGATTCTAAAACACACCCTGGAAAGCATTCTAAACTATTTTACAACCATATTTCAGGAAACAGACATAAGGAGTAGACAAGTTTGGGGAGAAACAGTTCCTTAGGGCAGTTCTTCCCAACCTTAAAGCCCTGTGGGTCACCAGAGGTATTGTTAAAATGCAGATTATTTCTTGGACTTTCTGAGCTGAGGTCTGAGACTGCCTTCCTAAGAAACTTCTAGGGCATCTGATGTGGCTGTTCCTTGCATTAGCATATGGGTAGTAACGGTCTAAAGAAGCGGTTCTCAACCAGTGGGTCACGACTCCTGAGGGGTTGAATGGCTTTTTCACAGGGGTCGCATATCAGCTATCCGACATATCAGACATTTACAGTAATAGTAGCAAAACTACAGTTGTAAAGTAGCACCGAAAATAATTTTATGGTTGGGGGTCACCACAACATGAGGAACTGTATTAAGAGGGTAGAAGCATTTGGAAGGTTGAGAACCACTGTTCTAAAGTAGCTGTAGGTGAGGGGGCTGCACTGGAAAGAACCAATTAAATAAAACTACTGGCCCTGAGAACTCTGGCCAATGAGGTATGTTCAGTGTCTTCGAGGCAACTAGTAGGTTGCACCCTCACTACCACATGACAGCCAAGATATGGGCGAGGTGACAGAGATATCCCAGCCTCTCCGTAGGCAGAGTCCAACTGCCCAAGGGAGAAGTTTGTTGTGTAAGGTGACACTGACATTCTACCCACACAAAATACCAATGAAGTTCACTTAACCAAGTGAAGCTGATGTGGGGAAAGGGGAGGTAAACAAAATTCCTCTCACGAACTCCCTTTCCTTCATGTTTTCATTTACCAAATATTTGATTAGGACCCACTAGTAAGCCACAAATTCAAGGTAAATCAGGGTTAGACTGTGAATGGAAGAAATGTACAGAGGTGCATAAATCAGGAAAACAAAGAACCTTATGAAATGGTAAGTGTTGTGGTGGCATGTGCCTTTAGTATCAGCACTCACTCAGGTGGCAGAGGCAGGTGGATCTCTCTGAGTCAGAGATCAGGCTGGTCTACTTAGTGAGTTCCAGGACAAACAAGGATACACAGAGAAACACTGTCTCAAAAAACAAAACAAAACAAACAAACAAACAAACAAAAACCCCAAAGAAACGAACTCCTTCCTTCCCTCCCTCCACCCCCCCCCATCTCTCTCAGCATCCTGAGAGATAAACCAGCACAAAGGGAAAATAATAGCCCCTGGAGCAGCACGTGTCTTTGCCAAAAACCAAGACCTTGTATAATCTGAAGACTCAACTTGGGGAGTACCCACAACCTTCAGCTCTCCAATGCAAGTGAATCCACAGGAACAGAGACTTTTAGGTGATGAGCTCTTCAGAAGGTAAGAAGATGGCCATTTCCTCCCAGAGCCCCAGTACCTGCATTCTACCCTGCTGTGTCAAAACCCAGATCATTTCCCTCACTGTAGACCGTCAGAGTCTTCGACCTTTTACTGGCAGAGCTTTTAATTGGCTTACCCTGTCATGCTGCTAGATATAAAAGACAATCCCTAGATTAAGAAGTAGTTCTCCAGCTGGAGTAGAAGAGTCTCAAACCACGGTAGGCAGAGAGCAAGAACTAGAAGTCTGCACTCTCATCCAACTTTTATGGGAGCAAGACAATGTTACTCTATCCCATCCTGGTTTCTTCTTCTTCTTCTTCTTCTTCTTCTTCTTCTTCTTCTTCTTCTTCTTCTTCTTCTTCTTCTTCTTCTTCTTCTTCTTCTTCTCTGTCTCACAGACAGGAGCCTTACTGGAAAACTTTAAGAGCTAGAGAAAGCAGTTTTTCTCTGAGGAGACAACAGAGATGGGGAGTGGAATCAGTGCTGAGGACAAAGAACTTGCCAAGAGGTCCAAGGAGCTGGAAAAGAAGCTGCAGGAGGATGCTGATAAGGAAGCCAAGACCGTGAAGCTGCTATTGCTTGGTGAGTGACATGAGCAGATGAACTAGTGGTTCATTTTCTTTGATTTTCTGGTGGGTTGATGGGGGCTGGCCAACCCCACATGTGTTCTTCTCATCCTGGTCCAGTCTCAAGCTAAAAAACCAAGCAGAGCTTAGAGCTAAGTTAATATGGAGCCTGCACAGTCACCACAAGGGACCCAGAATGCCAGGGGCACTGGAATTGTTTTACTTTTCCTTGAACTATGAATAGTGCAAAGACAAAGCTGGGCTACCCAACTGCAACAACAGCCTTTTTTTGGTTCAACAACTACCAAGAACCCTGGCCATGCAGGCACACACCAATCCTGCTGTCAGAAAACTATGGCATACAATAAGTAAACAGAACTCTTTCTCAGCCATGGATCCATAAAGTCACATGACCCCAACACATAGTCTCAAGGATAAGCCTACTGATCTCTGCCATGTAGACTGGATTCTTGTCCTTGCTTTCAAAATAAATGCTGGAGAACCTGGTAGGGAGGGGAGGGCCACAGGAAAGATGGAATCTTTAACAACAGAATGCCCTCCTGGCTTTCTAGTAAGAAATTGCCACTGACATCTGGAAGGCTCGTCAACTTGACACATTCTAAGCACATCACTGGTTGGTGCAGAGATGAGAAAAGGACCTCTGTAGGTCAATCATGGAAGCAGATCATGGTTTCAAATAGAAAATAAGAAACTGACACCTGGCTCAAGAAAAACCCCAGAAACAAAAACGCCAATGGTACTACTGAGGTGGGGTTGCTGGATCTATGCAGCAGAAAGCTGTCTGGGTTTCTCTAAAGAACCTGGGGGCCGGAGCAGTAAAGCAAAAGGGTGTGGGGGTCGGTGGGGCCTATTTGTAAGCTGGACCCAGGCTCTGAGGAATTCAGGAGTTACACACAGGAACAGGGGCTGATGGACCCAGACTGAGGAATTCAGCAGTCACATACAGGAACAGAGGCTGACAGACAGATCTTTTAAGCCTAAGCAGATTGTCTAGGTTCAGGATAAGCAGCTTAGAAGAAACAAGCACAGGCAAGGTGGGAGGAGACTTAGGGATCAGGAAGGAATGTGAGTTCTTGATGGGTAAGAGGACCGCCTAAATAAGGACATTAGAATGTTTTAGTCAATAACAGACACCATCATGGTAGGGAAAATTATCTCAGTGAAGAGCCCCAGCTCTTTCCAATCCTAATCAAGATTATTGCCTGTGTCAAAAATAGGCAGTGTGAATATTTTAAAGGAATTTATATGATCTATCAGTGGTTCCCAATGGAGAGACTTCTTGAGTCCCAGAGGCCACAAAACATTTGGAGATACTTGGTTGTCACAACTAAGAGTGGGATGTTAGTGGCCTCTAGTGGGTAGAGACCAGGAATGGTTCTAAACAGCTTACAATGTATAGGACAGCCATAAAAAAAAAAAAAGGAAAATCCAGTCCTCAGTGCAAATAGTGTTAATGGGGACAAGCTGCTCTAAATCCAGGTTGAATGGCCTGAGCTCATGGTGTCTCTCGGTAAGTCTCCCAGAAAGCACTGTTCACATACCATCTTCTGGACCATCGAGGAGAACTGGTGGGAACTGACAGCATGGACATTTCCCTTCCAGGTGCTGGAGAGTCAGGAAAGAGCACCATCGTCAAACAGATGAAGTGAGTGGCAACATAACGGGGGGGGGGGGCACCAAGGGGGGGGGGGCGGGGGGGGGGGGGACCAAGGTGTGGGAGTCAGTGGAGCGGGTCATGATGTTGAGCAGAAGGGTCCTTAGCTCCAAAGGACCTGATTTTCCACATCCCTCCCCTTACCCTGCACTTGGAGACAGCAGTAGAAGAAATACAGGTGGTTTCCTATGACCCTTATATCCTCCCCAGAATTCCAATCTCTTAGGTCTGGTTCCTCAGGCCCTGCTAAAAGTTTAGTGTCTGTTCCTTGAAGGATCATTCACCAGGATGGATACTCACCAGAAGAATGCCTAGAGTTCAAATCTGTCATCTATGGGAACGTGTTGCAGTCCATCCTGGCTATCATCAGAGCCATGTCCACACTAGGCATTGACTATGCTGAAGCAAGTTGTGCGGTACGTGATTAATGTTATCTGGTTCAGGGTGGAAGCAGGAGAAGAAATAGACAAGAGAGCAACAAACCACAAGGTAAGTCGGGTAAGAAAAAGTTCTGTGTAACTCAAATCGCATCTGCTAATCTTCAAATCATCTTAGTCCTAGGAGAGTAAACAACCTCTACCTTTATAACAAATGTTTACAAATTCAAACCCCAGCAACTTTTTGCTTTTTAATCTTATTTTATCACTTAAATTCTCTCTCTGAGCTTCTTGCACTAGCCATGGGACTTTTACAAGCTATACACTGAAATACACTAGGTTATGTATTGCAGGGCCGATTTTAAATTGCCAGTCCCTGCAGCAAAGGACCTATCATTTCAGCCTAACCTGAAAGATCATCTGGGACTGTCCTCTAGGCGCATCCCAGGGCTGGCTACATCTGAAGTAAATTAGCATGTTTCCTTAAACTGTGCCTTTACTCAGACTGTTCTACCTTAGGCTTTGGTAGCAATGCAGCATGCTTTCCGTTCAGTAAGTTCCCAGAAACCACCTGGAAAGTCACTAAAGTCCTCCCCGCTCATTCTCAACCACATTTCTGGATTACACAGGATTCGGGTCGACAGCTCAACAACCTGGCCGACTCCACTGAGGAGGGGACCATGCCTCCTGAGCTGGTGGAGGTCATCAGGAAGTTGTGGAAGGACAGTGGAGTTCAAGCCTGCTTTGACAGAGCTGCAGAGTTCCAGCTCAATGACTCAGCGTCTTAGTAAGACTATGGGGAGGAGGGGGGAATGATGCTCAGGAGAAATCTCACCCAGCCTTAAGTTCCAGGCAGTGGGAGCTGCAGACCCACAAACTGAACTATAGAGACATCGGCCCGTTTCCCTGTTTTGCATTTCTTTATACTGCCTCTCTGCAGCCTATGAAGCTGAAGATACAAAATTCAAAACAGGAGCTCTGCTTAGCAGTCCTTGGCCCTATCTCAAGAGGCAAACCAAAGAAAGATGGCCAGACACTGAGACCATCAACTTTGCAAAGCTGGTTCCAAAAAGATAAGGGACACAGTTATCAACCCTCAACAGTGCAGTACCAGAAGTGGGCATGAGTTTTAAGACCAAACAAACCCATGTTTACCCTGTTACCTCATCTTGCAATAATGTTATCATTTAGTTTCTGGAATCCTCTCTTCCCTGCTAGGTGCACAACATACACTCTATCTCAGGGCCCTTGTTTGTACACTAGCCTTCAAGATACATTAACCCCATTTTCTAGTAGAAAACCTGCAGTCAGATGAAGTTAGTTAACTTGGCAAAGACTGTGTACATAAACAGCAGAGGCTGCACTTGGGTTCAGGTCCACACAACTACAAAGCTGAGTTTCTATAGTATGCCACTGGGCTTTTTTTCTTTCTTTCTTTTTTTAAAGATTTTATTTATTTATGATGTATACAACATTCTGCTTCCATGTATATCTGCACACCAGAAGAGGGCACCAGATCTCATAATGGATGGTTGTGAGCCACCATGTGGTTGCTGGGAATTGAACTCAGGACCTCTGGAAGAGCAGTCAGTGCTCTTAACCTCTGAGCCATCTATCCAGCCCTGCCACTGGGCTTTCTTATTTCAGGTTGAGATACAGTCTTACTTTGTAGCCAAAGCTGGCCTGAAACTCAGCCCTCCTGCCTCAGTCACCCAAGTAATCCCTCCGAAGTTCTCCTTTATCTATAAAGTGGGAACATGAGTCTCCTAGTCTTCTAGGATTTAGTGAGAATTTACTTGTGAGAATATATGGCATACAACAGAAATGTCAGTTTTCCTTCCCTCTCCATATTAAGTCATTTTACTTCATATCTGCCCTCTTTGTACCCTTTGTGAACCCCCTCATGTTCTTATGAAAACTTCTAAACATACAAAAGTGGAATACACAGTGAACCGTCCAGTTTGCAGTTGATTCATGGCCTTTCTTAGCTCACTTAACACCCCTCCCACTGGATTATTTTAAAATACTCTGCAGCTATCACTTCATCCTAACAATTTCATTATGTATTTAAAATGCAAAGAAGAAATCATATCATCATACCTAAATATTTAATAATGCCTTAATATCTCCAAATATCAAAGTGTGTTCATATTCCTGTTTGACTCAGGAGAGAAGGTGCACACACTGCCTTGTCTTGTGTCTTCAGATTCTCTTTCAATCTATTTCCTGTCTCTTGATGGAACTTTGGACACATATATAAACAAGTCTTATTCAAGGGTCTAGAAAGGCTTAGTCAGGAGAACAGAACACTTCCCTCCTGGAGGTGTGGCCCTTCACCCTCTTTCTTTCCTGAGAACACAAGGGTTTGCACAGCCCTGGATTCAGGGCTGTGGATTCCAGTCCTGCTTTTATCACTGTATCAGCTGTGTGACTTAGGGGGACAACCTTGGCCTCCTTTAGCCTTGACTTCGAAGACTGTAATATCACCAATGCCACTCTCTTTTGCTAGCTACCTGAACCAGCTGGACCGGATTACAGACCCTGACTACCTCCCCAATGAGCAGGATGTGCTTCGATCCAGAGTCAAAACCACAGGCATCATCGAAACCAAGTTTTCTGTGAAAGATTTGAATTTCAGGTCAGCATTCAGTCCTCTGGGGCATCCCAGGTCTCACAGCATGTTTCTTGGCCTTTGCTGAAGCCCAATCCAAATTACTGTTCTCCTCCTTTCGCTTCTCCTGTTTCTGATTTTGCTACTAACTGGCCCCACCAAGCAGCCGCCTCTCCGGGTGAATACCAAAGGCAAGTGAGTCACATGGTGGCCACACCCATGAGAACAGCCGTTTCTTCCCTTAGGATGTTTGACGTGGGAGGGCAGAGATCAGAGAGGAAGAAATGGATCCACTGCTTTGAGGGAGTCACCTGCATTATTTTCTGTGCCGCTCTCAGCGCCTATGACATGGTGCTGGTGGAGGATGATGAAGTGGTGAGTGGTGTTTATTCCAGTTTCAGTGGCATTGGATTTCATGTGCCGCTCTCAGTGCCTATGACATGGTGCTGGTGGAGGATGACCAAGTGGTGAGTGGTGTCTATACCAGTTTCAGTGGCACTGGATTTCATGACCCCCTTCTCCAAACCTTGTCATTTCACTGCCCAACTGGCTAACACTGACAGCCTAGGCATCTCCTAGCAGAGCAATCTCTGCCTCAGTTTACTAATAACTCCAGAAAACTCCTTTTCTGCTGTAGGTTCTAGGTTAGCACTTCAAAGCTCCAAATTTACTGAGCGTGAGTTCGGTCTGAGAATAGGAATCCAAGCATTTTAAAGCCATCACAAAGCTCAAGAGGAAGTGATACTAAGTGGAGGCAGAGAGATGAAGTAGGCAGTGCAGGGACTTAAGAAGTCTATCTATATGCCAGTTCCCTTCTCCCGAGTTTTGAGATGAAGTCAAAGATGTGAAAACACTAATGTCCATGTTGGCCAGCTACTCAACAGAAAATCACAGCTTTTAGCCCACTGTCACTCCAGCTTTGGTTCTCTTTCCTTCTCCTTAACTGGTAGGGTTCACAATGGAGCACTCTGTACCTTTTAGCCAAAATGTCTTATAGCATCATCATTTACATTCCAAGATCACTTCCATTTTACCCCAAGTTTACCAGGTACTTAACTATCAACAGCAGGAGCATTGACAGTGAGGAAAGGCTGCATATCAGTTTTCCCTGATTAGATGACAAAAATGAATTCAAGTCAGCTGATGGCACACTTCAGGTCCCTACTGGCCTATTCCCTAAATGCTCACCTGATGTGGGTACTGGCTAATGCTGGACTCTGCGGACACATGTCTCTCCTCTTTCAAAGTAGCTATGAGAGAAGAAGGAAGAAGTGCTGATGGTTTGGTACTGGGAAACACTTCCAGCCTTTACCTTTGGCACTGGGGCTAAAGAATCCATGTCACAGTCATGCCCCAGATGAAATCTGGCATCCCCTGACATAAGCTAGCAAAAGCAAGTAACAAAGTGCTAATCTGGGCTTGGTTGCAGGCCCCACGGATATTACCTGGACTCTGGCAGCTAAAGATCTCCACATACAGTTATTCTTATAGCCAGCTACTACCATGGGTACCACAGACACATGTCCTCTTTAGCATTCATAACTATGAGGAAACAGAGACTCTGGGATGCTAATAACCTCCCTCAAATCTGAGCTATTAAAATGACAGAAAGGAAATTTGAATGTTTGGTTGTACCCCACCACACTAAAAACAGATGATCTGTTCCCTTGCTTTACCTTTATATTTGGAACACTGGTCTGTTCAGTTAGAACAGGAATAAACAGACGCTCATCCCACAAGCTGATCTGCTATTCCCACAATGTTTCTTCACCAGAATCGCATGCATGAGTCTCTGCACCTGTTCAACAGCATCTGTAACCACAAGTTCTTTGCGGCCACTTCCATCGTTCTCTTCCTCAACAAGAAGGACCTCTTTGAGGAGAAAATTAAGAAAGTCCACCTCAGTATTTGTTTTCCGGAGTATGATGGTAGGTGCCAACTGCTGCAGACAAGAGTGATGTAGTAATAGGATTGCCTCATCCCATAGGCCAAAAGCACATAAAGGAACTTACCAGGCAAAGGAGGAGACACAGAGACCTTTCCTCCTTTTCCTTGTTTCACTCAAGTGAGAAGTACCGGCAGGCTCCACAGAGCATTACTCCTGACAGCCACCTGCAGGCAGGACAGTCCCCACTCCCCACAGTCACCTGCAGGCACAACAAAGCCCCCACTCCCCTGACAGTCACCTGCATGAATGACAGAGCCCCCACTCCCCTGACAGTCACCTGCATGAATGACAGAGCCCCCGCTCCCCTGACAATCCCTGACCACATCTGTCTAATGCAATACTTCAAGAAGCAAATTAGACACCTGAAAATTGAGCACTTAGGGTGATTTATTCCATTTTACTAATTTCTTTTAAACCAGGGAACAACTCCTATGAGGATGCTGGGAATTATATCAAGAGCCAGTTCCTTGACCTCAACATGAAAAAAGATGTCAAAGAAATCTACAGTCACATGACCTGTGCTACAGACACACAGAATGTCAAATTTGTGTTTGATGCAGTTACAGACATTATCATCAAAGAAAACCTCAAGGACTGTGGGCTGTTTTAATGCTCAGTTCCTCAGATGTACATTCTACAAGCAGGCTTAGAAACTGAGAGGCTGTTTACAGAAAACTAATCAACAAGAACCAGCACATGACGAATAAGCCCATTTTGTTGGAGACACAGAAGGCATGCTTACAACTGTTTTCAAGTAGTGTGGCTAGTACAGTTTAAAGAATGTGTGGCCAAGAATCGTAAGACCCAGGCTCCAGTACTGGTTCTGCTTAGCACAGTAGAAATTTTTCTGTAGCAAAATTCCCTCGCCTATATAATGAAGGTCACTTCCTTACCTACTTCGCAGGGCCATTCTCAAGAGCACAAATCTAACTGAAGGGAAAGCACATGGAAGCTGCTGTGGTTGGCGGCAACCGATGTACTATCACACTTGGTTATTAGAATAAACTATCTCAAAGTGTATCAGCAAAACTTCCTTACATTGATCGATAAACTATTAAAAATTAAACCTGCCCCTGGGTTTTTACTAGCAGATCAATATGCCTCTGCTCAGAGACCCGCATCACTGGAGAAAGCATGTGAGCCTGCTCATTTCTAGGGCATTCATTCAGAAATGACCGTCTTTATTATCCCACTCCCCCACCCTGTGTTCCCACTTTCCTTTCTCTGTAACTGCTTAGCTATACTGTAAGAGTGTCTGGCTGAACTTGAGGGCATCAGCATACCCCCACTTAAGACGTTACCACCGCCACTTCTGTAGGATTTGAACAAGCAAGCAATCTGAATTCTCATTCCAGCTGCTGTATGTTTCACAAGAACAAACACCACTGCTGAGCTTGCTTTAGGCACTGGGAATTTTTGCAGCTGGGTCCACGTGAGGCTGGCTGCAAACATCTTCCCAAGCAAACCAGGGGTAAATTATTCCTTTGAACTGCTCTGAGGGGAAATGAAGCTTGCATTTATCTTGACAGGAGGTGGTGAAGCCATGTATAGATTTAGCATTTACAACTACTAGTGAGGAAAGCACTTGGCATCCATGGTTTAATGCATAAAAGAAAGTGTCAATTAAAATGAAAATCTGCTCCTTGCCAGAAACACCCATTCACACTTAGCTGCTTCCAGCAATATTAATACTAGAGAGCCAGCCAGCCTCACGAGCTTGAAAAAAGGCACCAAAGAACTGATCTGCGACCACTGAAATGAGGATTCACTTAATATTCTGAACAAGTAAATGAACACACATGCATACATACACACACACCCCAACCTGCCAGAATCACCCTAGGAACTACTCTAGGTATGGCTAGTAACATCAACAAAGACCCCTTCAAACAAAAATAAATAATAAACAAATCCCACCTGGGCAAAGCACTTTGTAGAAAGGCAATACAAGCCATCAGCAATCTGTCCACTCTAAGCATACAATGATTCTGAGTGTCTTAGATCACGAACTCCTACAGCAGGATGAGAGAGGCTATGGATCTCTCTTCAGAGTGATTCTGTTTGCTTTTTCTGTTTTTATGAGATGGGGTCTCATTGTATTGCCAAAACTGCTTGAGTTTGTGAGTTCAAGAGATCCATTTGCTTCAGTCCAGGGAAGAGGACTACAGGCACGCACCAACACTCCCATCTCAGAAGGTTTTGTTAAGATTCTTATTTTGTGTGTATGAGTGTTTTGCCTGATTATGTCTGTGAACCACTTGGATGCTGGTATGCTAGTTGTCCACTGACATCAGAACCTGGAACTAGTCACATGATTTGGGAGACACCATGTGGATGCTGGGAATAGAACCCAGGTCCTCTGGAAGAGCAACCAGTGGTTTTGTTATTTATTTATTATTTTTTACATTTCAATCCCAGTCCCCCCCCCACCTCCTTTCTTCCTGCTCCTCCCATCTGCTCCACAGAGAGGGTATGGCCGCCCCAAGGAAGTCTACTAAGTCTGTCCCATCATCTCATTGAGGCAGGACCAAGGCACCTCTCCACTTCCCACACCCCTATGTCTAGGCTGGGCATGGTATCTCTCCATATAGAATGGGTTCCACTAAGTCAGTTTGTGCATTAGTGTTAGATCATGGACCCACTGCCAGTGGCCTCAATATTGTCCCAGCCACACCATTGTCATCTGTATTAAGGAGTCCAGTTTGGTCTTATGCTGGTTCCCCATTTGTCAGACCTGAGTCAATGATTTCTCACTAGCTTGGGTCAGCTGATTCTGTAGGTTTCCCCATCACGGACTTGACTCCTTTGTTCATATTTTCGCTCCTCCTTCACTTCGACTGTACTCCAGGAGCTTGGCCCATTGGCTAGTTGCATCTGTTTCTTGAAGGGGGTTCTAGCTTCTCTGGGGTTGTGGATTATAGGCTGCAACCAGTGTTTTTAAACTACTGAGGCATCATTCTGCCCCTCAAAATGCTTTAAAATGCATAAAATTCAGAATTACAAAGAAAACAAGCAAATTAAGCAATTTTATTTGTAGACACCGGATCTTTTAACACCCAACTTAAGAAATTGGAGTTACAGCCAGGAGTAGTGTCACACAGCTTTAATTTCAGCACTGCATTCAGGAGGCAGAGGCAAGAGGATCGCCATGAGATCCTGTCTCAAAAAACAGAACCCAGAGTGTGGTTGTGCATTCAGGCCTTAAAACAATTTTACCCTATTTGCTCCTCATAGGAGAGCTTCCCCTCCAGACTGGACTGGACTCTTTGCTTCTCCTTATCTCTTTGGCTACTGATACACAAAACTTGCCCTCTATTATAAGAGCCAATGGAACAGGACTTCTGGCAGAACAATAAAATTCTCAAGCCAAAACCCGAGTTGCATTTTAGTTCTCTACCATTTTCTGACAGATATTTTAATGTTTAACTGGCTCACAAATTCACATAATGTACCTTGCATCTCACAAAATTATTTTCTTGGCAGACAGAGGAGAAACAGTGACTCCTTAAGGCCGTATCCCAGCTGCTTTTCAATTGAGATGAGGATGTGGTTATACAAACTGGCTACACTGCCTAACACCCAGTCAGTCACCCACTCATCTGTACTTTGAAACTTGGCCAGGGCTCACCTCCGAGGAGATGGAGGAATGCAGTTGGTGTCGCCAAGCATCTTTACTCCAGCTCAGCCTGGCAGGCTGACACTGTCCCTCCACTCTACTCTTCAGAGCTACAGAGACAACTTTTACTTTTACATAAATGGCCTGTTTCCGCTTTGTTTGCTTGCTTGTGTTTTTATTTATTTGTTTTTGAAACACTGTCTCACTGTGTAGACTATGTTGGCCCCAAACTCACAGAAATGTTTACACCCTTAGGCGGCAGTGAGAGGCTGTGAGGCACTTCCCTATCACAGCATGATTGGTGACAACACAAACACAGACTACTAAAATTTCACATACATCTGATGAGTTTTTAAATACTATGATGACATGACAGGACAAATACTGTAAAACCCCACTTATCTGAGGTATTTAAAACATGGAAAAATGGGCCTGGAAGTCAGAGAGACCTGGGGGAAGAAATAAATTTTGGAGATGGATGGGGGTGATGGAAATACAATAGTGGTTAATGCTATTCAACTTTATGCTTAATTATTAAACTTGGATGTTCTTGTCATGTATTCTTTCCTGCCAATAAAAATAAGGAAAAAATGATTAGCGACGTGCTGGTGCACTTTCTGCAGATAAAGGAATGAGACACAAAAGCAGCAGTCATTTGGTGAAAGACACACATACTTTCAGAGTCTCTACTCCAGCCAGTCACTTCACACGTTCTTGAGGTGCCACAGCAGCAACGCTGGGAGGGAGGTGAAGGGGGAAGAGGGCTTACCTCCCCCTGCCCTTTCCACCCAGCACAGCCCTCAGAGCACAGATTCCAGCAGGGACAGCAAGTGCCTCTGGGGTTGCCGCTTGTTAACAACGTGAAGTTTTTGTAGGTCAGACAGGCATACTGAGATAGTAGAAGGGAACATACCAGTGTGAACAGAAAATAAGGATGGCTGAAATACAAAACAAAGGTCTTTGCCCTGTCACATGCAGCCCATCTTTGGACAACACAAAAGGAATGTAAGACTGAAAGCGACCTGTTCAAACGTTCGTGGCTTAGGAAAAGCCGAGAAAAGAGCAGAACTCAGTACGCCAAGTAATTCTCAGGCTCCTAAGATTTCTAAGAGGTCTCAGGACTTTTGTCCTACATGAGCAAAGATAAAAAGAGAAAAAAGTAATTTCTTGTATTACTTGTGGGGAATCTCACAAACAAACTTCTCAGTTAAAATGTCTGAGTAGCCCAACTATTCCTGGGGAATCTCACAAACAAACTTCTCAGTTAAAATGTCTGAGTAGCCCAACGAATATTGAGGTGGGCCTAGAGATAGGAAATGATATAAGCCAGACCACACAAAATCAATGTTAATACACTGCAATAATGTATCACTAATTATTTATTACTTCTGCCACCTTGTGATCCCCATAAGTGCACATTCATCTGTTATTACATTTAATAGTCACTTGTCATGGAATTTTTAAACCTTTCACTGCTTATAAATACTATAAACAACTGAAGTAGAAATATATGTTTGGGTATCTTAAGTGTCTTTTGAAATTTTATATAAAAATTAAATACTCTGCACCTAAGATGTAGGGATGTTTTTGACCCACCAATCCTTACACCAATTGTTTGTGTGAAAGGCACTTTAAAGTGTGAAAAATATAAAAATTTAAGACATTTCTATTTTCTGTGTATGAGTGTTTTGCCTGTATATATGTATGTGTACCACTTGTACCTGGTGTCCACAGAAGAGGGTGTCACAATCCCAGGGATGGAGCTATAGACGGTTGTGAGTTGCCGTGTGAGTGCTGGGAACTGAAATAAGGCCTCTGAAATAGCAGCCAGAGCTCTTAACCACAGAGTCATGTCCCTAACACCCAGAAGTATTCAAAGTTCCTGTCACTCACTAGTGACTTTGAGATTATGTATGTTCTGTAATGGATTCAAGTGTTCTTGTCAATATTAGTCTGTTCTGTTGCCCTCAACTTTTGGCACAAGTTGCTTAAGGGATTTAGTAAAACAAGCAAACAAAAAAACAAAAACAAAAACAAACAAACACCCCCCCACACACATTTTCCCAGGATGTCTTTGTGAGATTTGATTTAGTTCAGTTTAGTCAGGGAATCTGCATAAACTAACTATGTACCCCCAGTGTCATCTCATTCCCGAGAAGCGCCAAGCCAAGTCAGGCATGGTATGGGGTGGAAAAAACAAAACTGTACTACCCTGACGAATTCTAAAGTATGTTGTCCTTCACAGAAGTAGCTGGAAACAGTAACTGTGTGTGTTTGGGGGGTAGGTGTGTAAGTGGCTGTGTGATAAGGACCTGTAATGGTTTGGGGACTTTCACAGCAGAAGGTGTAGTCTATTACCTGCCTGAACTGATTAGGTAAGGAAAGAGAGACCATCTCCTATCTGCTCAAGTTTCCACTCAGGAGAAAATGTGGCTGC